TTCCAGGTGCTTTCCATTGCACTAAACTTCTAGACGATGTGTGCCAGATCTGAAGAGTTCGGTATGCGGCGGCGGTTGAGGGCGTTAAGGATTCCCTCATCCATGCAATTGTAGCGAAATATCGAAATCGCGTCATCGTCACCGCAGTCCGTGATCTTGTCTTTAACAAGGAGGAATCTAGCCCAAAAGTGGTGGACTATTTCCTCAGGTTGCTGCCGCACGTAAATTAGGTCGCATACATCTGGAGGACCTGAGTTGTTTGGGGAATATTGTATGTGGTAGGTGGGCAGACTGAAATCCAAATCATGACCCCTTATCGCATCCGGAATTTGAAGAATCCGCGAGGTCACCGGTCCAGGGTCTGGAGCGTCCTGGCGGTCTTCGGGCTCAACGCCGGGTTCTATGTTTGGAGGACATGAGGTCTCTTCCTGAAGATGGGTATCCGGCTCGTGTGACTCGGAAATTCGAACATAGCTTGTTCTCAACTTGGGGGGAGAAGTATCATCGGCCTGTTCTTCCACGACCGCTACCATATGGGTGATCGGCGGGGACCTGATTTCCCTCTGATCAAGTTTAAGCCCAATCCAATCGTAGTCTATTGCTACTCCCAGGGCGGCGATGCGATCAAGTAGTTCGTTTAAAGACGAAATATCTGTTGGATCCATCTTTTTGGGGTGTTTGAGGCCGACCTGAAGACGATGTTTAGCGATTTCGAGGGCCGCCCTTGGCTTAAAGGCCGTATGGGCGCCCATGGTGAAACCGCCGAGCTGGAGGAGATGTCCCGGAGCTAGGGTTTCTCCCGAGGTGATGTTATCGTCAATGACGAGGCGAGCCATCGATCCTACCGTCGACGGCACAGTGGAACTCTCAATGAAAGCACCAATGTCATTGTCAAAACCAGCTGATCTCGGGTAGGGGGTCCCGATTTGTGCGTCTGAGGATCGAAGGAAACATGAGACAAGGGTGACACGATGTTTACCCAGGTTTAGGCCCTCTTAATGGAGGTAAAACCCTACGTCCTACTTGATTGTATTTGATGAGTATAGGGGTTACAAGAGTTGATCTACCTCGAGATCGTAATGGCTAAACCTTATATGTCTAGCCTATGTGATTTGTGATAGCCTCTATGGACTAAACCCTCCGGTTTATATAGACACCGGAGGGGCCTAGGGTTGTACAGAGTCGGTTTACAGAGAAAGGAAACTACACATCCGGTCGTCGAGCTTGCCATCCACGCAATGGAGAGTCCCATCCGGACACGGGGGAAGGCCTTCTATCTTGTATCTTCATGGCCCATCAGTCCGGCCCATGCTACACAGCCCGGACACCCGAGGACCCCATAATCCAGGACTCCCTTACCCCTTGTGTCAAATCAATAAATTTGGGTTGAATACTCTACCCTCGAAAACTGTTACAATCACCTATACTTGTGCAGCGTAATACTTCTACAGTTGAGTTGCTCAAGACCAAGAGTGACCAGATGACATATCTACTCCTAGCTACCCAGAGGACCGAGCAAGGCTTTCATAACCTTGTGAAGAAGCAGGAGAGATTAGAGTGGATCATGAAAACTAAGTTCAGTTCTCTTGATGTCAAGGTGACAGGGATGGCCACCAATTTGGAGAAGCTTAAGGCAGATGTTGAGGCACATATGAGTGATTCTGGTGAGCAGATGACCACACAATACCAGACACAACCTAGATATGCTTCCATAGTTGCCCCGACCACTTTTATGGAACCCCCAGTATCTACCCCACTAGTTCAACAGACTTCCTCAGAAGCATTTGCAGACGAACTTCTCTCCACTCCATTGACTCACACCGGTGCTGCTAGCTAGAGGACTGCTTCATCACCAGCTGTCGTGGATCGAGCCCAGAGCGACGCTTCACTCTAGATAATTCGAGTTTTTTAGTAACTTGTTGCCAAAGAGGGAGAGTGATATTGATTGTTAGGGATTTCAGCGAGAGACTGTATTATTTTGCTTTTTATTTGCTTTGGTTTTTGAGATACAGTGATTTTCTTTGGTTGTAAATCTTATGTCGTGTGTGACCGTACTTTGTTTGCTTATCATACTCCTGCTATCATTTGCTTATTCTTGATGTTATGGTCATTCACATGTGTGCTTGGTGATGAGTGCTTATTGTATCCATTCATATTCTTTTGTGGACTCCACCAAGATATATGTGCCATGGAAGAGTTATCCCATGGCCCTAATCGATTGTGCATTTTCATTCAAACATAAATTTCCAATATTGCACAAATTTAGGGGTAGCCCTTGCTTATCACATACTTCTCAAAGCGACGATGTTATTCAATGACTATACTTATGTCGAAGCCTTGATCTATATGTTGTCATCAATTACTAAAAAAGGGAGACTGAAAGTGCAACTAATCCTCGGGTGGTTTTGGTAATGCATAACAACATATGCATCATTCAACTAATGCCTACTCAAACAATATTTCAGGAAAGTTCAATTAGGTATGGCGATAGATATGAATGTGGACCCCTAAAATGCAATGGAAAAACATTGGCAAAGCTTCTACACTCTACATTTATAATTAAGTGATCAAAGTTCACATTGAGTCCATAGGAAAGAAAATACTACTAAAATGGAAGAGATTTTGATAATAGACTAACTGCTCAAGTGCTTAGAGATATTGCTCCAAAACCCTTAGCCACACTCTCACATTTAGCTATATCCAAAACCCTAAAGTCATTCTCGGTCCCACCGAACCACTCCTATCCGGACCTACCGAGAAACACTAGACATAGCCACTGCCTAAACCCAACTTTGTACCACCGAAGAGCACTTGTCAACCTTCTGTTGCCTATTGATCTCATCTCAAAAAATTCGAATGGTTGCAATCGGTCTCACCGAATTGTGAAAAGTGATTAGGTCATCACCCATCGGTCTCACCGAGTTGTTTCATCTGGTCTCACTGAAAAGCCTAAGTTCAAACCTTTTGCATTAGTCGGTCTCACCGAGTGTGTTCATCCGGTCTCACCGAGTAGTGCATAAAGGTGTGTAACGGTTAGGTTTTTGGTGCTGCCTATATATATACCCCCACCCATTCTACCAACTCTCAGAGAGCAACGAGGACGAAACCACAACTTCCCATATTCATTTTCTGAGAGAGAACCACCTACACTTGTATTGAAATTAAGGGGATTATACTCCAACCTTTTATCCTTGATTTCTAGCCTCGCTAAGTTGCTTTCCACTCCAATCCTTCTCCTACTACATAGCCAAATCTGTTAGAGTGATTGAGCGTTGAGGAATGAGGACTATCTTTTGAAGCACAAGAGCAAGGAGTCCATCATCAACAACAACATCTATTACCTTCTGGAGAGTGTTGTCTCCTAGATTGGTTAAGTGTCACTTGGGAGCCTCCAAGCTTGTGGAGTTGAACCAAGGAGTTTGTAAGGGTAAGGTGATCACCTAGTGTAAAGATCTACCGGAGTGAGGCTAGTCCTTGGGTTTAAGTCATGATGACATAGACAAGGTTGCTTCTTCGTGGACCCTTTGTGGGCGGAGCCCTCCGTGGACTCGCACAGTCATTACCCTCCGTAGGTTAAAGTCTCCATCAGCGTGGATGTACGATAGCATCATCTATCAGAACCACGAGAAAAATCACCGTGTCTTCATTGTGTTTGGTTTTCTCCGACCCCTCATTTACGTTCATACGCAAAGTCTTTACTTTCTGTTGCCTACTATCTTAGACTTGCATGTGTAGAGTGTGACAAGACTTGTTAGAATTGTTAAAATTTGTGAAGAACTAAAATTGCGAAAATGATAAGTTTTAATTTGTCAAGTAGTCTAATCATCCCCTCTAAACCTACTTGCGATCATACATGTTCTATCTGCAATACCGGAGCCAATGGCAGCAGCAGTGATGTGGCTTCTGGACATGTGAGTCGGCCAAGAGTTTTGCTTCACAATCTCATTCTTTCCGGTTGACTCGGCTAGTCGCCATGTTGTTGCCCATTCTACTTTGCATGTAAAACATTGTAACCGGACGCTGTATTTCATATGAGATAGATGCCATGTATCTCTCATTTTTAGTTGTCGTAGAAATGAACATGCAAGGTGCACTAATTTTGAATGTCAAGTTGGAAAACTTCAATTGTCTTGTAGAAATGATAGGCAAGGTGCAATCCCTTTGCATGAAACAAACAATCCTTTTGTTTGATATATAATAACATGGTGTGGTGTTTGGAAGTCGAATCTAATCAAAACAACAATATAGTTCAAAGGTATTACAGACTTTTCACTGACTATACCACAAATAAACCGGAAAACAAGCACCGAAAACTACTAGCTGACTTATTATCTGGAGCTTATTCTCATAGGAGCTTATCTGAAGCTTATTTTCACAGGACCTTATTTTCACATGATAGCTCAAAAGAACTGACAAATTGACAATAAGACCAATAATTATTTCAAAGCAAGACAGAACATACTCGCTCCTATAAACTAAAATATAGGAAATTTCCATCTCTTGACGCTCTATATGATACGTTTGATTTAGTGCTATGTTTGGATAAAAACAAGATTCATGAGCCGTGTCTCCATGGACAATGTACGTGTGGGGACTTGGTCCAGGACGTCGATCTACTAATTTACAACATCAGATTGCGCCACTAAGATCTAAAATATCTCATGTCGACCAACCCATCAATACCACCACAGATCAGCGTAGGAGGAAAACCATCGATGATTGGGCAACACCTACGTATGTGCCTGTGTGTTGCCTACGCAGGGAGGAAGCAGCGTGACGAACTGGTTACTCGCCCTACGCATGCACACCCGTTCGTCGTCCCACGTGGCCACGTACGTACGTACGCATGCATTGCTGTGCATGTACGCACGCTTTCCAAGTTGCCAATATGGCATACATATACTCGTATATACATATATACTCCTATGTGTGTGTGAAAAGTCGTCTAGGAGGCCTGTTACAAGCTGCGTGGCTGTGTCCCGGGGCTCTATAAATAAGGTATGCGAGGATGTAGAGATGCAAGCCAACCAGCTCCAGCAATGGCCGGCGCTCAGAGCAAGGACCGATATGCTAGGAAGCTGCTGCTTCTCTTGCTGTGCGGCGGCTACTATTCTGTCGTTGCTCGTGCAGCCGATGATGCACGTAGCTATAAGGTTCTCGCCGTCGGCTCACTCAAGGCTGAAGTCGTCTGCTCAGGTACGTACATCGAGGTTTTACGTTTGTCCCGGGTCAAATTTCTTTATTTTTGATCCCGCCTCCAGAAAAAAAGATAATGTCTATATTGAATCCAATGATACTAATTTGATGTTGTAGATGTGGGTGTGTATTTTTTCACATTTTGTAATTCATCAGTTGCTTGAAAATCCAAATACGCATCAGTCGATTTTGCGCGAAGCCCGGTATGCGGACATCAGATGAAACCATGGTGGGGTTTAGAGGGAGGACGGCGGGCGGCACCTTAGACATGGCGGGAGCAGGCGGTTGGGCCTATGGTCGCGAGGTGGAAGAAGGGTTGGGGACGCAAGCCAGTGTTGGCTGTTGGATTGAAGTCCGACGGCTGAAAAAATCGACTGATTTTGAATTTTGTAAAGCAGCTGATGCATAGTTTTTCTACGATGAACAAATCTAAAACCTTCCAGCACTTTGAAACGGAAGGAGTATGTTCTATTCTATGCATGCACACTCACATGCAGTTCCAGCAGTACAATTGCCTGCCGATCCTGTACAGTTTTTATCGTTTATATCCCGTTTCTTAATTTTGCAGTAACTCCAGCGCCGTCCAGTGGAGCTACGGTGCCGCTAAACCACCGGCATGGCCCGTGCTCGCCGGCGCCATCCGCAAAGGTGCCAACCATCCTGGAGCTGCTCCAGCATGACCAACTCCGAGCCAAGTACATCCAACGGAGGTGGTCTGGGAAGAAGGGCACCGACGACCTCCAGCCGTTGGACCTCACCCTGCCGACTACCCTGGGAACTGCCCTGGACACGCTGGAGTATGTTATCACCATCGGCATCGGCTCCCCGGCGGTGACCCAGACCATGATGATCGACACCGGCAGCGACGTGTCATGGGTGCGCTGCAACTCCACGGACGGGACGACGCTCTTCGATCCCAGCAAGTCGACCACGTACGCCCCGTTCTCTTGCAGCTCCGCGGCGTGCACACAGCTTGGAAACAATGGCAACAACTGCTCAAACTCGCAGTGCCAGTACATGGTCCAGTACGGCGACGGCTCCAACACCACCGGCACGTACGGCTCCGACACGCTGGCGCTAAGCGCCTCGGACACGGTCAAGGGTTTCCAGTTCGGTTGCAGTCACCACGAGGAGGGCTTCAACCGCGAAAAATTCGACGGGCTCATGGGGCTCGGCGGCGACGCGCAGTCGCTCGTGTCGCAGACGGCGGCGACGTACGGCAAGTCCTTCTCGTACTGCCTCCCGCCGACCAACCGCACATCCGGGTTTCTCACCTTCGGCGCGCCGAACGTGACGTCCGCCTTCGTGACGACGCCGATGCTCAGATGGCCACGGGTGCCGACGTTCTACGGCGTGCTTCTCCAGGACATATCCGTGGGCGGAACTCTGCTCGGAATACAGCCCACCGTCCTCTCCAACGGATCGGTGATGGACTCTGGTACTATCCTCACGCGGCTACCACGGAGGGCCTACTCGGCGCTCTCGTCGGCGTTCAGATCCGGCATGACCCGGTACCCGCGGGCGGCCCCCGTCGGCATCCTGGACACCTGCTACGACTTCACCGGGCTAAGAAACTTCTCTGTCCCGACCGTCGAGCTGGTGTTCGACGGCGGCGCGGTCATGGACCTCGATTATGACGGGATCATGATCTCAGACTGCCTCGCGTTCGCTGCCACCAGCGGCGTTAGCATCATCGGCAACGTGCAGCAACGGACGTTCGAAGTGCTGCACGACGTCGGCCAGGGCGTTTTTGGCTTCCGGTCAGGCGCGTGCTCATAGTTTTCGGCGACGGGCACGCGTGTTTGCCATGTAAGGGGCACCAAGGCCAAGGGCTCGTTCGAATTTCGGATGCAGAATAATGCCCGGTAGGGGATTGCTAAATCTCAGTCGACTGAGATTGAACTAAGTCTCGGTCTTTTTTTTTTGCGGGAACACTTGTATTATTCAAATGACAATGTCCTTACAATCATCAAGGGAAATACTCAAGATTTCCTCTGGCCTAGATCCTAGTCAGGTCATAGTTCGCCCCTCAACTCGAGCAAACCTAGCTAAACTATCACTAGCTTTGTTTTGGGCACGCAATACATGAGTAATATAAGTTTGTCTAAGACGAAATAAAAGTCAAATTTCATTCACCAAGGAGGCATAAACTGAACGATCAACTTCCTCAGAAAATATCAAAGATACTGCCATGCTTGAATCAGATTCAATTGCAACAGGTAGATCAGATCTTTGTATGGCAAGTGATAATCCTTCCATGATCCCACATAGCTCAGCTTCTAGTGGATCTCTGCAAGAAAATAGTAATCTACATGCCGAGAAGATGATCTTGCCCTCATTGTCTCGAAGAATCATACCAGCACCAGCATCATCGCTTGCTACAAACGAGCCATCAACATTCAATTTGGCCCAGCCATTAGCAGGCGGTACCCATCTAGCTTCAGATATCGCTTGTTGTGGTGGTGTGAACGCCGCCCCAACATGCTGATCAAAAGATATATATCCCTTTCCTTTCGGTGGATCCATCTCCGAATTTAACTTGATGCCAATTAATTCATCCAGATATCTCCTCAAAAAGCTCACCGAGGACTCCGTGACCGGCGCTGGCTTGTGATGCACAATTTCATTACCCACATACCAACTCCTTCAGAAGATGAGCAACATTTTAGTACGATCAATATCACATAACTAGTCGAGCGCATGAAGGAGCCATTCCTTACCAGTGTTCACGAAGGAATCCATTGCTGGCAGTTTCCATACGTTAGACATTTCTCTGTACAAATCTCGACCTCGTTGGCACCTTAAGAACGAGTGGAAATTATCTTCTACCTCCATTCCACACACCGGGCAGCCACTTATCGTTTCCAAACCAATTTTGTTCTTGTTCTTCCATGCTGGGAGGGCATCCGTCGCCATTCGCCAAGCAAAATTGCGGATCGTCGGCGGCACATTACTCTTCCAAATAAGTTTCTAGCAGCTTCTCCCCCCAGATCTCGAAGTACTGCTAGAAGCCAAATTTGCACCATGAACTTCATGAAAAGCAACCTGATAAGCTGACTTGACTGAAAAAATTTCATTTTTACTCGCCCCCCAAGCGATCACGTCCTCATCCAACCTAGGAGACGCCCGTATTTTCATTATCTCACATCTGCATACAAAAAATATTGCTACAATAAATCTACCTTCCAAGACCCATTGGGATTGAGAAGGTCAGAAACAAAACGAATGCGGCATCGGCACTGTAGGGAAATAGGTTTGTACGAAAACGGCCTTGGTATCTAATTGTCCCTCCAAATCCGAATGCTCCTTCGATTTCCCACCCTCCATATCAGCCCTTTTTTCAACAGATCAAGACCATGGCTGATAGCTTGCGAAGATGAGGATGCATTACCTGTGAAAACCGTATCCTCCAACTTGCCATAAGGATAATACTTCGCTTTAAGCACTTGAGCACACATGCTCTCCGGTTTTGATATTAATTGTTGGGGAACATAGTAATTTCAAAATTTTCCTACGCACACGCAAGATCATGGTGATGCATAGTAACAAGAGGGGAGAGTGTGATCTACATACCCTCGTAAACCGACAGCGGAAGCGTTATGGCAACGCGGTTGATGTAGTCGTACGTCTTCACGGCCCGACCGATCAAGCACCGAAACTACGGCACCTCCGAGTTCTAGCACACGTTCAGCTCGATGACGATCCCCGGACTCCAATCCAGCAAAGTGTCGGGGAAGAGTTCCGTCAGCACGACGGCGTGGTGAAAATCTTGATGTTCTACTGTCACAGGGCTTCGCCTAAGCACCACTACAATATTATCGAGGACTATGGTGAAGGGGGCACCGCACACGGCTAAGAGAACGATCTTAGAGATCAACTTGTGTGTCTAGGGGTGCCCCCTGCCCCCGTATATAAAGGAGCCAAGGGGGGGTGCGGCCGGCCCTAGGAGGAGGCGCGCAGGAGGAGTCCTACTCCTACCGGGAGTAGGACTCCCCCCCCCTTTCCCTAGTTGGATTAGGACTTGGGGAAGAAGAGAGGGAAGAAAGGAAAGGGGGGGCGCCGCCCCCCTCCTTGTCCAATTCGGACTTGGGGGGGGGGGGAGGGGCGCGCGGCAGCCCCTAGGCCTCCTCTCCTCTTCCTCCACTAGGCCCATTAAGGACCATTAGGTTACCGGGGGGTTCCGGTAACCTCCTGGTACTCCAGTAAAATCCCGATTTCACCCGGAACACTTCCAATGTCCAGACATAGGCTTCCAATATATCAATATTTATGTCTCGACCATTTCGAGACTCCTCGTCATGTCCGTGATCATATCCGGGACTCCGAACTAACTTCGGTACATCAAAATATATAAACTCATAATGAAACTGTCATCGTAACGTTAAGCGTGCGGACCCTACGGGTTCGAGAACAATGTAGACATGACCGAGACATGTCTCCGGTCAATAACCAATAGCGGAACCTGGATGCTCATATTGGCTCCCACATATTCTACGAAGATCTTTTATCGGTCAGACCGCATAACAACATACTTTGTTCCTTTTGTCATCGGTATGTTACTTGCCCGAGATTCGATCGTCGGTATCTCAATACCTAGTTCAATCTCGTTACCGGCAAGTCTCTTTATTCGTTTTGTAATACATCATCTCACAACTAACTCATTAGTTGCAATGCTTGCAAGGCTTATGTGATGTGCATTACCGAGAGGGCCCAGAGATACATCTCCGACAATCGGAGTGACAAATCCTAATCTCGAAATACGCCAACCAAACATGTACCTTTGGAGACACCTGTAGAGCTCCTTTATAATCACCCAGTTACGTTGTGACGTTTGGTAGCACACAAAGTGTTCCTCCGGCAAATGGGAGTTGCATAATCTCATAGTCATAGGAACATGTATAAGTCATGAAGAAAGCAATAGCAACATACTAAACGATTGGGTGCTAAGCTAATGGAATGGGTCATGTCAATCACATCATTCTCCTAATTATGTGATCCCGTTAATCAAATGACAACACATGTCTATGGTTAGGAAACATAACCATCTTTGATTAACGAGCTAGTCAAGTAGAGGCATACTAGTGACATTTAGTTTGTCTATGTATTCACACAAGTATTATGTTTCCGGATAATACAATTCTAGCATGAACAATAAACATTTATCATGATATAAGGAAATAAAATAATAACTTTATTATTGCCTCTAGGGCATATTTCCTTCAGTCTCCCACTTGCACTAGTGTCAATAATCTAGATTACACAGTAATGATTCTAACACCCATGGAGCATTGGTGCTGATCATGTTTTGCTCGTGGAAGAGGCTTAGTCAATGGGTCTGCTACATTCAGATCCGTATGTATCTTGCAAATCTCTATGTCTCCCACCTGGGCTAGATCCCGGATGGAATTGAAGCGTCTCTTGATGTGCTTGGTTCTCTTGTGAAATCTAGATTCCTTTGCCAAGGCAATTGCACCAGTATTGTCACAAAAGATTTTCATTGGACCCGATGCACTAGGTATGACACCTAGATCGGATATGAACTCCTTCATCCAGACTCCTTCGTTTGCTGCTTCCGAAGCAGCTATGTACTTCGCTTCACATGTAGATCCCACCACAATGCTTTGTTTAGAACTGCACCAACTGACAGCTCCACCGTTTAATGTAAACACGTATCCGGTTTGCGATTTAGAATCGTCCGGATCAGTGTCAAAGCTTGCATCAACGTAACCATTTACGATGAGCTCTTTGTCACCTCCATATATGAGAAACATATCCTTAGTCCTTTTCAGGTATTTCAGGATGTTCTTGACCGTTGTCCAGTGATCCACTCCTGGATTACTTTGGTACCTCCCTGCTAGACTTATAGCAAGACACACATCAGGTCTGGTACACAGCATTGCATACATGATAGAGCCTATGGCTGAAGCATAGGGAACATCTTTCATTTTCTCTCTATATTCTGCATTGGTTGGGCATTGAGTCTTACTTAATTTCACACCTTGTAATACAGGCAAGAATCCTTTCTTTGCTTGATCCATTTTGAACTTCTTCAAAACTTTGTCAAGGTATGTGCTTTGTGAAAGTCCAATTAAGCGTCTTGATCTATCTCTATAGATCTTGATGCCCAATATGTAAGCATCTTCACCCAGGTCTTTCATTGAAAAACTCTTATTCAAGTATCCCTTTATGCTATCCAGAAATTCTATATCATTTCCGATTAGTAATATGTCATCTACATATAATATCAGAAACGCTACAGAGCTCCCACTCACTTTCTTGTAAATACAGGCTTCTCCAAAAGTCTGTACAAAACCAAATGCTTTGATCACACTATCAAAGCGTTTATTCCAACTCCGAGAGGCTTGCACCAGTCCATAAATGGATCGCTGGAGCTTGTACACTTTGCTAGCTCCCTTTGGATCGACAAAACCTTCCGGCTGCATCATATACAACTCTTCTTCCAGAAATCCATTCAGGAATGCAGTTTTGACATCCATCTGCCAAATTTCATAATCATAAAATGCGGCAATTGCTAACATGATTCGGACAGACTTAAGCATCGCTACGGGTGAGAAGGTCTCATCGTAGTCAATCCCTTGAACTTGTCGAAAACCTTTTGCGACAAGTCGAGCTTTGTAGACAGTAACATTACCGTCAGCGTCAGTCTTCTTCCTGAAGATCCATTTATTCTCAATTGCTTGCCGATCTTTTGGCAAGTCAATCAAAGTCCATACTTTGTTCTCATACATGGATCTCATCTCAGATTTCATGGCTTCAAG